TGTTTTTGCAATGCATGTAGCACCCTCTTGTGGTAGAGTTCTTACACTACATCTAATGCATTCAATGGTAGAAAGGCTGTAGGTGCTGGAGGGCCAATACCCACATGAAGGAAAACACTAAAGAGGTGAATGAAGGCCAAACGTAAGCAATCACATTGTTGAATTGCAAGGCACCCAGCCCTATGATCAATATCAGAGACAATGCTTGGAAAATACAACATTGTGAAAGGTTTCAAGTCAGTGGCGAACAATTCCAAGTCATTCCCTATCCTCTAGATCAGGACACTGTACAAAGTCTGTAAGAAAAGATGATAAAATCTTAATTTCCAGCTCTCCTGGAAGCCATTTTAACTGTATGCCAATTGTTGAATTTGTAGTGGATAGGGATTGCATTTGGTTACATCAAAGACACACTGAACTGAGCAGGAATTAGTGCTTGAGACAATGAACATTCTGTCCCCTGACATTTGGACCTTCAGTTGGTTAATTCACCACACACTTGGCACTTTGTGGCAAAATGTATTCTACCTTTGTCATTGAAACCGCTCTCAAATGCCTCATTAGCATTGTTGGCATTGCTCCATTAAACAGAGGAACATAGCTAGTTTCGAAATTACAGCTTGATGTTCTTTTATATTTCAACGACAAAAGGACACACATTTTGCCCAGTGTGTGCAAAATGTCTGGTGATAACATATATTTAACTTTTTTTTTTTGTTTTCCTTAACACCAGCAGCCTTTGCCTTGGTCCCCCGCCGCACTGTCACACAGTCCTTCCTCTTCCTCCAGAGCAGCAAGATTAATCTCGTCATTAATGGACATCCGGAGAAGATCCAGGTCCTTTTTATTGGCTGCCAGCACCTGTTCAGCCAGTCGTGTGAAAGTCTTGGAGGGAAACACAGCCGCAGGATAAGAACAAGACATGACAGATAAGATGCATTGTCAGTTAACAAGTAATTTCCTCCCATTATGTAATCATGACTGCATGCATTACTTTAATTGTGTTCTGTACATGGTCATGAAATGTCAGGTCCTTTTGAGCAGTGGCAATCCAGATCACCTCACCTCTGTAATATTATGGTTGGTGAAGGCACTTGTCTCAAAGAAGTCCATCCCATAAGCCTTGGCCAGCTGCAAGACGGAGAATAGTGAGACATTTTATTAAAAGAAAAAAAATCTGTTTTTGTCTTTTTGAGTTGGGAGAAAAGACAACTGACAACTAGTTATTTCCTTTCACACAGGTGCAGTTTGTTCTGCCGGCTGTCGAATGTAGTTGTGTGTTCAAGTGCAGCTTTTTAATGGAAGGTATGAGGCAATGCGAGGCAACAGGAGGTGAAGCATAGTCTGAAGGCAGTCATAATGCATCATGGCCTTTAGAATAAAAATGCCTGACTATACCAGTACCCACACCAAGTCCAAAGGGTCCCACTTTTTTGAGCCAAGGTTTGTACCAGAACCCAAACACAGAAGGCATACAAAGTTTTGCTGAACCCTGCGCTTGATTTTTTTCTTACAGAACTGAAAATGAATTCAATGATAACATGATAACAAGCTTTTGGAAGTAAAGGAATAGTTCAGCACTTTGGGAAATAAGTTTATTTGCTTTGTTGCTAAGATCAATACCACTCTCATGTGATATAATTGTGGAGTTAGAGCCAGGAGACAATTAGCCTAGCTTAGCGTAAAGACTTAAAGGTCCAGTGTGTATCATTTAGGAGGATCTATTGGCAGAAATGGAGTATAATATATTCATAGGTGTGTTTTCATTAGTGTATGATCACCTGAATATAGGAATCATTGTTTTTACAGCCTGTTCTCAATCCCCGGTCATCAAATATTTCAAAAAAATAAAAAAAATCCTACCAATACCTCTACAGCTTAATAATTAAACAACCAGGTGCAGTGACTTGCCAGAGTGTTGCAGTAACAGGTTGCAAGGCAATGATTTGAGGCGCTGCTCAGAAGTGCTAGGTGGATGGATAAACAGCACGTAACTCAATCTAAAACTACAAATGATAATTTTTACATTTGCAGATTAAACACACAAGATCTAACATGTTATTTAATGAGCTTTTAGAAGTGATGGAAGGCATGATGTTTCCTCCTGTTTCCAGTCTTTACTTAGCTCAGCCAAGCTAACTGCCTTCAAGCTCCAGCTCCGTAATCAAGGCAACATGAAAGTGATATTGATCTTCTCATTTAGCAAGTAAGGAAGAAAGAGAATAAGAGTATTTTTCAAAAATGTCAAAGTATTCCTTCAATATCACCTAAACAACCAAACTGTGATTGAAACTGGCTGTAAGGCAAGTAAGGTTTTTGTTGAACTCTGAGCTGAATTTCTCTCAGAACCCAAACTGCTTTTGGTGAACTAATATTAAAAAAAAAACAGAAATGTCAAAAGTTTTGAGGACCTGAAGCCAAGTATCACAAACGTCAGCATCATAATAATGTATTTGAAAGCATTATTTCTTTACCCAAAGGCAAAAATGTCCTTCAGTTCTAATAATCCATTGTGAAAGCGTCACTGCACAGGGCCAGTGATAGACCCACCTTGATACCTTGCTCTGTAGCTACCTGCCTCTTGTCCACCTCATCTGACTTGTTCCCTACGAGGATCTTCTGGACCTTTTCGGGAGCGTACTGCAGGGAAACGAGGGATATGTACAGATAAGACAGAAGAGTAAAAAAACCAAATTAAAAAGATAGGGGGAGAGAGAGAGATAGAGAGATATATATTTCAAATGTCAAGAGAATGCAGGGGGAGAAAACACAGAGACAGTGCTCAGGAAATGAGACCTACATTAAAAGAAAGTGGGAAGCGTGCCAAGATCAATAGAGTATATATTCAGACAGACCCATAGAGGAAATTAGGTCCATAATGGCTAAATTAATAGAATAAAATCATCTGGGAAATGACAGGGGGAAGCAGGGCAGACGAGATGGCTTAAGGAAGACTCAAAGCCAATAGAAAAATGTGATTGCAAGAGGAAAAATGTTCTCCTTCCAATATTTATGACTACACATTTAAATGACGGAGAGCAGTGCGCGTTAGGCTAAAGCATTTGTTTTTATTGGTTCTTTGTCAACGTGGGCCCTATGCACCGTTTTTCTCTTTAATACAGAAAATAATGCATGTTGATCCTAAATCCCCAACCCCTGTGACTCACCTCATCCACATCACTGGCCCACTTCATGATGTGCTGGAAGGATCGCTCACTCGTGATATCGTACACAAGGAAGATTCCCTGAAGAGAGATGTTCAAAGATTTTAAAACAGATGAGAAACAGTACATTTTAAAGCACTTCAGGGTCATGTTTGAAAGATGTTCTCAATTTCTTGATCCTTAAAAGCAGCATTTTCAAATCAATAAATTTGGGAACCTTAATGTGATTCCTGTAAACAAACCAGACTACCACTTAAAAAGTTGGCAGCCTATACCAACAGTTAATTTTAGATTGTAAGCCCCTGGCTAGATGACATATTTACTGAATTGTTGTATAGCACAAACCAGGAGCAGGTCACTTTCTTCCAATTTCATTGCCAGTTTCTGGTAAATGGACAATTCAATTTCAGCCAGTTTAACCTATTTAGCTGCCCAAAGCAAAGGCAAAATCCATACAGAACAATATCAGCGTGGTGGTAGCGTGGAGAGCTATTCACATCCTCCTGGGAGGGAAGGGGACATGTGGTCTTTTTAATATGAGAAGTACACTTACAATAGTCCTTTTTCACAGCAGCCATTTTGAAATAAAGGGTAAACACAGGTGTTACCGATGTTACTAATTAAGGTTCCACTTCAATTCAGGTCAAACTGAGTCTGAGTGCTGCTATTGTGCATGTTGGCTCACTGGAAAGGCTCTGCTACACTAAATGAAACATAACCTTAATCAGTATCATTGGTTAACACCTGTCTTCACTCTACTATTTCATGTCAAAAAGGTTGCTGTGTAAAAGGTCAGTGCCACTGGTGTGAGATCAAATCCTTTTTAGAATATTAAATCGATGTTTTAAAGCTAGTAGATGTAGCATCTTTGATCCATGAGATATCCTTTTAAAAGCACCCAAATGGTTCCTCAAGTACCTGATGTGGTGTCAAGTATGAGTCATGAATTATTCTTGTAGCTGTGACAAATTTAATTTCAGAAATAAATTTGATTTGAATTTGTTATTCTAATTTGTAATAATAATATTAGATTATTAATGTGTGGAAAATCACTTGCAGCAGCAGAGTCAATGAAGGAGGCTTTTCTCGGGGTCAACTACCTGTGCTCGTCTGTAGTACTGCTTAGTGATGGTCTGGTATCTTTCTTGGCCTGCAGTGTCCCTGGAAAAGCAACAAGCATATATGAACATGAACATACACAAATATATTTGTGGGATTATAAAAAAGACACCTAAAATATAAATAATAATATTAATATTTTGTATGTCTTTGTTACTGTCCAGTGTAAATAATGTATCTCTAAGATATAAACTTCTCATTGAATAATAAAATTAGCTTTGTTTTAAGCAGAAGTTGGTTGTTTAGCCACACTAGTGGCAGGGCTTCAGGGATGGCTTTATCAGCTAATTAGCAAGTGTTAGCATGCTAACAGGCTAAACTAAGATGGTGAACCTGGTACAGTTTACTTCTTAAACATAAATAAGTTTGCATTGTCAGTGTCAGCATGTTATCATTTAGCTTAAATCACCTAGGCACTAGACCAAAACTATTGGCATAAAATAAGTTGATACTGGACGACGCTGAGGATGTGATTGGACGTTTTTATGAATGGGATTTTAAAAATTCCCATTTTTAAATTATTTGATTCTGCATTATCAGTTCATCGCATGGCAACTATGTTAGTTGTTAGTAAGTTCAGGAAAAGATTGTGGCTCCAGTTTATAGAAGCCAGCTTTAATTGCAGGTCTGTTATGGGACCAAATCTCTCTCCAGTGTCCTGCATGAGAGTTCTCTTATGTAATTGGCCTAAAAGACAGCAAACACAACATATGCAAAACATATGCAAACATATTGAAATACATACATGAAATGCAACACATTGTTTTCCATAAACGACAGGAATCCGTATAAAAAATATTATCAACATGGCCTCAGTGTTGCTCTGAACATGATCAGTTATACAACCATAAGCCATAATAGTTGTAGCGTGTGTGCAAATGACTAATATACCCTCTATCAGAACTACTGTTGTGTAATTTCTAATAACATTTTGTTAATCTCGTGCACATGGCCTTCCAGCATGGTGCCCCATACCACTATCTTACCATATCTGTATCCGTACTTTGATACCATCTATTACTAGTGTCTTCATTTTGAAGTCGACTCCTGGAAGAGAGAAAAGATATGGTTAGGAAATACAATATCACATTCAGAGAGGAGCTCTAAATGTATTTGATATTCCTCTAAACCTGTGAGTGCAGCGTTTTCTGAACAGCGTCTGCACTTTCCACCCAAAGAGTGACTGAAATCAATTAACCCGGCATGTCTTTAACAGACAGAGGTTCTGCAGTATCTGATGCTGCTTTGTAACATCATAGAGGGCATTAATGCAACGAGAGCCACACCATCCCTGTATAATCAGCCTGTTTGTTTGAGGATTGGGCTAATGATCCGGCAAGCTCAGTCCTCGTTTAGTTCAGGTCTCTGCATTGATCACATGGGAGGTAAAAGAAGTGATGAGGGCAAAGAACGATAGCTGAGCGCTGCCACGGAGGAACAGACGAGAGAAAAGAAGCAGAGCTGAGATGTTGAGGGGAGAGGAGGGGTCACTCACTCACGCTTCAGTGATCTCTGATCTGTTTCAGACGACTGTGATATTCGTCATAGAGAGAAAATCGCAGACAGGGCCAATTTTTCATTTCTATAAAAACTCACTGTGTGTTCATTTTGTGAAGGACAGATGCTGACATACCTGAAGAGAAGATGCTGATAGTAAATGTTTTATGCTGATGTTAAGTTTTTTTTAAATATTTCTACAATAACTAAATCATGTATTGATTTCTTTCACAGAAATGTATTTTGTCAGTGAATAAAAAGACCAACATACATTGTAAGTCTCTGTCCACTATAAGTACTGTTCAGGATTTTAGAGACAATCCCACCTCATTAAGAAATCACAAGACTCGAACCAAACTATGCATAATTTTCTCAGTATTTAATAAAATAATTAAAATCTTTAATCATATGTTTATGTGTAAACCTCATTGCCCTACATCAGATTCAGATAGTCTAAAAAACATTAGAATCAGCCTTAGAAACCCCAACATGTGTAAAGCACGCAATAGTCAAATGTAAACTCGTACATCCAAATTAGGAAACCTTTATCGCAGGGTTACTGAGATAATTTCCTTTAATACTGTTTATCCCATCGTTTGGGTTTAATATGCGGATCTGATGTGTGAGAAAGCTTTGGGAAGGGTTTATACAGTTTATCAGTTTAGTTCTACAGGATGACTAAAATACTGAAGTTAAGTTGTGGTTTTCAACCAGCAGCAGCACTCGCAACAATTATGGTTAACCTGCAAAGTGCCGCTAAAAAGGAAGGAATATGATTGCAAGTAACACTGTCTGTGGCATGGATGTGCTTTTACTACTCTACAACTAACACTGCTAACAATAATAATAAATCATATTCATATTCATGTACATGTTGACGAGGTACATTTAAAATGCCAACATAGTAGAATTACTTTTTAACATTCAAATCAGTTTAACCATTCTTTTTTTTTCTCCAGTGCCTTTACTATCTCCTCAGACTAATGCATTCCAGTCGATAGAAAGAAAACCCACAGGCGTCTATAGGCCACACTAATCCCAGAGAAATCAATTAACAGTTCATCCCAATTAACCTGACACTCAACACCCATGTGTCACAGCCGGCATCACATTCAGAGAAAGAGCTATTGAGTCCAATCAATTCACATAAAGGGAAGAACTGCTGTGTGTGGATTTATAGCTGAATTTCTGCAAAGTTTGTATTCCAAGAGATTGACATCAGGAAACAGCTGACAGATGTACTACAGCTGGACTGCCCGATTTTGGACTGTGTGTTTGCTGAGAACAAGCTGGAGTCAAGTGAAGACTCCGCGGAGGCTGGAGCTCACTGACAGTGTGTGGCCTCATTTAAATCGTGAGGCGGCCTTTGCCTTTGACTAGAGAGCATTCAGACCAAGACTAAGTGAAAGGTCAGCATAACAATCAGTGGCTTGCCTTGCCTGAGGCTTGAGGGGAGATAACAAAAAAGAGGCCGTCTTCTTGTATCACTGTCCAGCTATATTAGCACTGCATTAAGCTCCAGACAGACATGCAAACAGAAATTAAATATTCAAATAAAATGTAGACATGAATTAAGGGATTCTCCTAAATAACTATACAAGCAAGTCAGGTAAGGAGGTAGTAGCAGCATTAAGTCTCTCAAACATTAATAAATTTGGTCTTATATGTAAAAGATGTTTCAACCCACATTGTCTGCATCCTGCTGTCTGATTGCTCTGCATTGTTTTATTACAGCCGGGGAAAATTAGGTTGTTTTATAGAACCAGGTGCACTCTTGCGGTGCAGCTGAGGCTGTTGTGAAGTTATAAAAATGTCTGTCTGTATCATAGGTTTGATATTAAAAATGTTCTTGGCGTTTCCATCACTACAGCAAAGGTCCCACTTGCGTAAAAAGTCCTGAATGTTACTATCGAAGGACAGATTGGAGGTGCAGGTATGTGCTCTGCAGTCTAAAATGTTGTATTCAAGATGAGCTCTCATTATTATGTGTATTATTACTACTGTTTGATATGTTTAAATTGAGTTATTGTTTTGATTTGGTGGTTTGTGTACCCACAACTCCTCATACTGAGTGGATTATCCTGGGGAAATAATTGAATTAAACTGAACTGTGGCTTCTACACATTCGACTTATCTGTACTTTCACTGCAAACCAAATCTTATACCTTACACATTGCATGAAGGAACTAGAACTCTTTGAAGAATAATTCAGCTGTTACAGCTTAAAAAAAAAAGTCCTAAATCATTAAGAACAGCTTGGAGAAAAAAAAGCCATTTTACAGATTTCCCTCTTCTCTTCTGAGGCAACTGTGACAATGGATATGAGCACAATGTGCGAGGAGAGACAGCAGTTAATTTAACATGGCAGCATTTCACAATCAGCAGGGTGAAAGCCATGTAAAAACGAATGGGTACACACCCAAAATTGACTTGACTAATTACCAGGATGGCTGTGTTTAACTATGCAAGACGCATTAGGCGATGACACATGTCAGTGTGTGCTGTAGGTAATGGTGACAGACTCACTAATGGATGGACGGATGGATGCTCTGGCACTGACACAAATTCACTAGGGAATGGATCTGTCATCCATGGTTATCATTACTAGCAGAAGACAGCCAACAATTGTCAGCAGCTGTTGTCTTGAGGGCGCAGCAGGACAAGAGACAAACTATTTTTTTCCTAATTATGAACTTGCCATCAATCTGTACTGAACAGTTAGGTTTTCTATTGACCTACTGTAAATGAAACATGTACAGTGACTCATAGTGATTTATATTTAGATCAGGATTTAGTCAAACCCATGACTGAATCCAAATCTGTGTGAAAACTAAGTTGTATAATGACCATATGGTAGCGCTACTGCTCCAGATCCGCACTAAAAACAAACATGTTCCTTGGTTCATGGCCTGAATTTTCCTCCATATTGTTTTTGAAACTGCAAAGCAGTCTTTTAGAGACAGTAGAGAGATGACAGGAAATGAGGGAAAATAGACAAATCCCCAGCCAGATGGAAACAAACAGACAAACAGGACCACAACTACAACCTCTTCAGTAGATATATAAGCTCACATTCCTAAAAAAGCCAGGAAGAAGTCAAGCCTTCGCAACACCACTGATTTCAGTGATAACCTCTCTATGAGATGACGTGGCCCACGTACGGCCTTTGGACTAATGAGCTCGTCAAGCAGCAGCGGGCAGAGTGTATGACCAGGCCTGTGACCATAACACCACTGGGATCGCCACCATGAGGACAGCTGCTTATTGAGCTATGAGATAGGGCAGGGCCGGGCTCGTACTTTATAGGCGCTGTGACAGCCAGGAGCTCCAAGGGGTCCTGTGAAGAGACCGATCAAGATAGCAGTGAGGAAGATTAAACTCAGCAGTGTGACTGAATACCATTACTAAATCATCTCTACAGCTGCTATGTGCCAGAGAAATGTGCACTCTCGGGCCCAGATGAAAGTCTTATGAGGAACGGAGTGACCTGTTAAAATAAAATGAGATACCTGGATGAGTGAGGGCGTATTAGTCCGTCAGGTAAGATCAGAATCCATGCTGCTCCAATGAGTTTGGACAAGTTTGTTTTCATTTTTGTTGCAGCTTTTGTTTTAGCTGTAACCAGGGAGTAAAGGCATATCTTTTGTAGATCCTATAGTCAGTTGAGCTATTTATTATTATTTATATTTCTGAGTATACTGCAACATTTATTGTCAACCAGCCTTGGGTGGATCAAATCAAAGACAAAAATGTTGGCTCGAATTTGAATGCAGGTCTTGCTCTGTGGTTTCAGCTTCTTTTGTGTGGGAAATTATTTGATGGCGTGAATACAAACCCCCGACTGTCCTTCAGTATTGAAAAAATAATGTACAAAACCACAAGGCTAAAATATATATCTGCTGTATTTCATGCAACCTGTCAAGACTATGGAAAAGTTTCCCATTGACGTGTCGTAAAACGTCAAAAAAAGCATTAAATGGCCAGGAGAAAGCCACGTTAAACATGAACCCACTGAGCATGAAATTCTATAGCACAGGAAACAAACAACTCTAGAAACATTGAACGCTCCTGTCCAAGTGCTTCTGTGTAATTTTATTCTGGTGCTGTGTCATGGTTTGAACAAAGCCCTTTAGTTCCAATTAAGCATAACCTTGATGTTACAGTGTACAAATTATATTCCTAACAATAATGTGCTTACAACTTTGCTGGCAGCGGGTTGAGAAAGGCGCTTTCTTTTTTCAAGCACATCACAATGTCTATAAAGAAAAGATTTTCTGTGAGTTTTGGCGTGGAAGAACTGCCCAGAGCTCTGACCTCAACATGATTCAACACCTTTGGGATGAACTGAAATGATGTTCTTGTCGCTAAAAGGGAACAAATCCCTGCAGCCAGTGTCCAAAGCAGTTATAACCAGTGTTGGGCAGTAACTCATTACTAGTTAAATTATTATATTACAGTAATCATATTGCTTTTCCCCAGTAACTAGTAGTATAACTAATACATTTTACTAATAATATTCGAGTTACCTCCCAAAAAAAGAATTAGTTACTACTTTACTTTTGTACTGATTTAAAATCCAACCATCCAATCACATCGTTGGAGTCATTTTTGTAATTAAGGAATCGAGGAAATGTATTTATCGTTATACAACACTAGGTTTGGAGGAAACAAGCTTGGAAGATGGAAACAATTATGACAAACAAAACTGGATTTTAATCGCTGAAGTCTGAATAGAAAGGACACAATAACCAATTTTTGTGGAGTAGCAGAAAAGTAATATGACTAGTAGTGTAACTAATTACTGTTGGCAGGGAGAAATAAGTAAAAAAATAACATTACTTTTGAAAAAAATAATGAGCTATGAGTATAACTGGCCCAACATTGGTTATAACAGCATGTCCATGTGGGAGTAATGTTTGGGTGTCCACATACCGTATTTGCATCTATTCGTCCTCATAAGTCACACATTTGCTGGGAAGCCCTCAGTGTGTGAATGTTTTGGGTTTTATTCTCATTCACGACGGCAGGAGATGCTGAATAAGATGCTCCTTATCCTCTAATGTTTATGTAAAAATGTAAAAAGCTTTGTTGAATACGACCCCCGTATGGGTGAGAGGTCCCAGCAGGTTTTGAGATAATTAAGAGCAAAAACTGAGCGAGTGGACTGTAACGGAGAGCTGATGAATTATGGAGCTACCCATGAGGGGGACATGAGGGAGAGAATTTATATCCCTCTGTCACCATGAAGGTTGGGAAATTATTTATTGATCCTCCTCAGGAGGGCCCTGATGGTGGTCACTCTTGATCTCTCTCTCTCTCTTTAGACTTTGTTGGGCTTGTTTTGTCTGAGAAGAGGAGTTTGAATTATTGCAGACCCATGAAAGACCTCCCAGTGTGGCTTATAGACATAGTCTGCTGCCAACAACTATTCAGTCTAATATAAATATCTGTACTCTACCGCCTTTACCAACACAAGAGCCTGATTTCTAAGCATCTAGCTGTGGTTGTAAACACTTACACTGCAACAAAAGCAACAAAGAGATCCCTACATGCAGACAGGCTGAACCTTTCTTGTAAAGCCTTGGACACACCAAGAGACATCAGAAAGGATTGCAATGTGCTGTATAAACACGACTCTACAGGGAGGACATTTCCTGTAGAGTGCTATAGGTGCACAACTTAAAATAGCACACTGCAGTCTTTGTAAGTGTGTGAGCAGATATCATTACTGGTTGCAGCAGGTGAAACAACAAAAGCTTTTTAAGTTCAATGTGATGAGTATATAACTTTGAGTTTGAGCCTCATGCTGCGGCTGTGGACTGTTTTCAGGAGTTCCCTGAGGGCTCAAACATCAGAAAGGCTTTGAATTTACCCGAAAAGCTTTCAATGCAAACACACAAGTGGTCCAAAAAAAATGTTAATAGATTATGTTGAAAGGAATAGGAGCAAACCAGGAGGAAAATATCTCTATTCATTGAACACACACAAGCACAGAAACGACAGCTGGTTGCCACCAAATAGGTGACAAGAGACGCCACCGCAGCATGTGAAAAAAGAACACTGGTTACTGTACATCCTTATTGCACTCGCCTCAAAGGGAGGCACCATGGGCCTGTCATGCTCTGCACTCTTAACTATGGAGATAGATACATTGCCATATGGCCATATGAACTGTAAGAAGAGGGATGGTTAAGCTTTGCTGAGTCAATATGTCATCTTCAGGGACGTGGCAAACCAATGAGCAAAGGCAGGAAGAGATACTGTTAGTTTGCTCTATATTCTCTGAATTAAAAGAAGAAACTGGATTTTTGTCCTTGTTAACTGGTTATTTATTTGGTCTAAACAACATCAAAAACTGGTCAAACATGCCCAATAATTCAGAACCAAAGCTGATGCCTTTTTTTTTGGTTCAACTGTCCAAAACCCAAAGATATCCAGTTTGCTGCGATTGAAGGAGGAAGCTGAAACCATCAAATGTTTGGTAGTTTTGCTTGAAAAACCAACTAGCTATGGTTAATTTTCTGTCAATCAACTCATATTTGGGTTATCATATCTGGGTTAGACTGTGTTTTTGTTTTTACAATAAGCACAGTAAAACCTCTGACAACCATCCTTGTACTAAGTCTGCGAACTTATACTGAAATAAAATCATACTTCATCAGGAACCTGGAACCACCTAACAGACCCTGGGAGTCCCAGGTTTGGTGGGTAACATTGGGTGCCTGATGCAAAACACAACCTACTCCCACACATACAAGTATGCCTTTCCTATTATTTAGTATGACACTTGGTTGCACTGTCAGTACCTAGTGCTGATAGTTGGTAAACTCATCTGCATGGCTGCCAAGTGTTGGATCTTCCCCCTCAGGGCTTCCCCAACCAATGCAATCACGCTGATGTTACAGTCTCTCTATTCCACGTGATCACACCTCTCTTAATTAAATCAAAGCGTAGCCCCTTTTTAAAATTCCTGATCAAATCTAATTTGTGGGATGTAATTGGAAATCCAGCGAGGAGAGGAGAGCTAGAGAGGAGAGAGGGTGATGCGCAAATGACATCAAGAGCAAACGCTGAAAGACCATGCAAACGAATGGGAAATTCTAATTAAAGCAAGTGATAAAATATGGGAAAAAAAGAAACAACTCTTGTTAGCAGTGCAGAGTCTTACCGATGGTGGAGATGTGAGATGGGTGAAATTCGTTGTCCGTGAATCTGCATAGCAAACATGTTTTCCCAACCCCAGAATCTCCGAGAAGCAGGAGTCGGAAGAGCACATCATACTGTTTAGCCATAGTGTTGGATATAGTGTTGAATTAAAAAAAGCCCCAGTCAGCTAACTAAGCGATGGATGAGCAATCCCTCCCCGCCTGCATCCCATGTCTGCTCAAATGGGCAACATGAGGCTTTTGGCTATGCTTCTTTTTGTTCACTGATGCTGGGTCGGTGGTTAACAAAACAGGGATGCTCCAGCTTCCCAGGCAGCCTCCAGCTTCCAGTGGGTGCGGTGGACCATTGTCAAGTAAGAGTCGATAAGAAAATGGCACTTCCGGTGGTGCTTACCAACATAAAAGCTTGAGAGCGTCTTGCTCTTAAGCTACAAAGAAGATTAGTTTTGGTAGCAAATCCAAGAGTATATCTTTATAACACCATGATTGTCACGATAGTATTAACTTGTAAACCTTTTACAGCATTTGGAGTGGTAGGAAGTCATGCACGTATCCACATATCCTCTGTTATTTGCATATGTGAAATAAATGTAGGCCTATTTGGCAATTAGCACGTCTATACAGCCTGCTGGTACTTTATTATAATATTTTAACTATTCATCATTTCTCATATTAATTTATAAAGCTTGCATATTCTTGTTTCATCTGCTTATTGTACTCCTTTTTTTTGTTTTTACATATCCAAATCAAATTATAGTAGCATATAGTGTAATATAGTAGCATAATAAAGGCCCAAGAGTTTGACTCAGGGCCCCTTATACATGATGGGGCCTCAAAATTAGGTAGGCTAAGGAGGAAGATGTTGCGTTAAGACCCTCATAGTACAAGGTGCATCAGTGATTGTTAAAAAGTCCATCACGTTAACCGTTTCCCTTTTCTGTTCAGTCCACGCTATCTCCAATGTCCGATGGTAATACTTAGCTCTCAGCTGGAAAGCTGACTAACTTTGTGTCATAAGTGTCCATACAGGCTACATACGAATAAATGTATGTGAAAGGTTTTTATTTCGGACTTTATTTTGAAGGCTAAGCCGCACAACTTCCGGCAGTGTTTGGTTGTGTTGTGGCTGACTTTACGCAGATCAAAGGTGGAAATAACGCGCGCGGTGGCATTTCTTTCCTTCGACGTCAGTCACATAACACCAATGAGAGAGTAGGAATGACATAAAACCGGGACACAGACAGTCACACACACACACTCACTCCTTATGTTATAGTAAAAGTAACGTCAAACACTTTTATTTTCCACAAGAGGTTGTGTATGTATGTATGTGTGTGTGTGTGTCTTTGTTTCGCACTCCAGTGAATGAAAAGAGATTTTGTTCCCTAGGAGACGCCGTAGCGGGTGTGCGCGCAGTTTCCGCCCACTCCAACCTCGGCAGGAAGTGAAAACTATCAAAACAAACCAAACAAGCACCTTACAGCGTCTCCTCGTTCACAGCCTCACCGCAGCTCACGGTTCCTATCACCCACCATGGACGGTGTACCGACGCCTCTGCGGTGCTTCGGCGAGCGGCACCCCGCGGAAATGTTGGTGGATGACGGGGTGGAGTCGGTGACTTCGGTGGAGCAGGTGAGTGGAGGTACACGTTAGCTCCGTTAGGTAATGTGGCTAATGCTAACGCCGCGTTTGAGTGGCAGCTCTGCAGGAGTGTGACGGAGAGATTCAGCTGTCGGACACCAGCTTTTATTTTATTTTATTTTATTTATTTCAACCCCCATGGATCGGGACATACATTAGGTTCAGTGAAGGAAAACTACTTCGCGTTCATTAGCTCGCCGAGCTTCAGCTAACCCCAAGTTAGCATTGTACCCTTAAAGAGATTAAGTGTGAATTCACTTAGCTGTCGGATAAGTACGTTAATTTAAATAGTTAAGCCAGGTTACGACGCATTTAGCGTTTAATTTTAGTGTAAAACCATTAAACAATCTAACAAAAAAAAGGTCTATGTCCATTTGATTTGCTAGTTAATGTGTGGTTAAATGCATTCAGGGCTAATATAGCTCATTACAGATAATCTATATCGGAATCGATATTATATGATTGCATTGTTTCCTTTTTTTTCAAATTAAAGCGATCAGCGCTTGTTCTTTAACATTGGCGTTTTTAAAACACCAATGCAAATGTGCAGGGGTTGGCGCAAAGGCTCATTTGCAAACATGAGCTGATAAAGTAACGAAGATAAGTAATAAAATAAGTCTGAGGTCGTTTAGGAACAGTGTCGGCTTTGTGTAGTCCAACAGACAACACTCACTTATCTTTCATGTGTAAACTGTCGTGCTCACTACAACATTATATATGTAACTGTAAACCATTGCAACTTTCATCCTTATAAGAAGAAGTATTTATGAGTTTCTTCCATTAAAAATTGACTAATTTCCACCAAATAACATTACACTGTGATTTCTTTTATAATTGTGTGTTTATTTTTTTATGGGAAATGATTACTGTAGGTGTGCTGTCACAGAAATTCAATGATCTGGCAGTTTTGTATATATCTTTTTAAAATAATAATAAGCACAAAAGCATAAAAAGCACAACCCACACAGGGGTTATTGATGGAAATGACCGCAAACTAGTTGCTCCTTAAACTGCTCTGTATCTGGCTAATGATAATAACCAGCTGACGAAAGGCTTGTTCTTGTCCTTGGTTAGTCTTTAGCTCATTATGACTGTTCACACTCTCCTCTTCCCTGCCCTTTTGTTTTTGACTAGAAAAAGGTGGAAAGCAGCATTGAAGAAGTCATCTCTGTTTACAAGCAAATGCACAGCTTACCACAGTAAGTATCCAGTAGGTCATTCATTGACATGGCTTTTCACCCTGCTCTTCCTCTTGACCTTTTACATGGTTTCAAGCTTGAAGAGTAACCAAGCTGCAGACATTTTTTAACCAGAAGTTCTGTTGTACAGTTGCTCCATTCGGTCTAAGTAGTTATGATGATGTTATATACTACTACAGTGCTTACTGCCACACACCCAACGTCTGATAAGAAAATCTCCTCTAGAAAATAATGTGAAACTTCAACATTAATAGCCCGGGTTTCTGTTTGCTTCAGTCACTGAACTCAACCTGCCTATACTTTGGAAGAGGTGTTTAATTTTTTTTCGTCAGCAAAGATGGGAAATACTATAAAATCTTTTATTTTAGTTTGAATATTGCTTTTACAAACATTTTTATTCATTAACACCAATTAGAAATCATTAATTTGATGCTTTGGTGCTCATGGTTTCTATAAAATGAACTGAATGATTGAATCGTAGAGAATCTAACAATGTATAGGATATTGACAAACGTTTAAACATTTATATTTCTGTAGGTGATTTAAGCAGCTAGATACTCACATCAGCGGGTGACCCACTGGGCTTTAAGAAGTTTTATACATCCAGAGAGCTGCTATAAAATCCAGACCAGGCGTCTAATTGAGACCTGCATTTATTTATCAAACTGTGTCGCTACACCAGGCCCTGCATTTAATTTAAAGTTTTGCAGTACTCTCTACCCTACAGACATTATTGTTACTTTCCTATTATTTGTTTTACCTTTCAAAAGACAACAAAATGTAAAACAAAAAAGTCTGATTAGATATATGCATTATACATTATTTGGGGGGAATATTAATATTAAGCATATTCAGTAATAATGATCAAATATTGCATTCCATTAATCAAACATTTAATGTTTTCGGAGAAGAGGAACTGTCTTGTCTGCGTGTAGACGGCAGAAAATGAGCTTTGCTTTAGTTTCAGACACGTGATGATTTTGTTAGGTCATATTAGATATTAGTACAATAATAATGTGTAATCAGGACACTAAATTGGCCTTGCTATAACTCGGTATATCGTTAAAAAAAAAGCCTTTATGCAGCATCTAAAAAATCATTATCTGACCAAAAAATTGTAGCCATAGTAATGATAATCATCTATTCATAGGACTCATAATACATTGAATACATTTACTCATTATGAGACATTTCCAAGACCACAGCTCATTGGCTGTGGCTGCTTTTGATCACAAACACCTGCTGTTTGCCAATAGAGATGGCTGCACGGTGATGTGTGATGGCTGTTATCTAAGTGGTGTGTTGATCAGCCCACATACTTTGCTCCTGCTATCAGCTGTCATCAGTCCTCTGTTAATGGGGTGACTCATTTCATTTCTATGACAACTGCACGGATCTGAATGTCACCGGCATTGCAGCCGATAGGGGAAAATGTATTTGATTCTGTAGGAACTAATGGTGTTCATCAGTAGAGGTCATGCTTTAGTAGTGATCATCAGTTTTCAGTTTGGCCTGGACTCAACACATAGGAGGTAAGGTTAGTTCTTAACTTCTGGATAAAAGTTAAAACGAGAGGGGTTGTGATTTATCTCACATGAAAGGAAGTCGTCCAGGAAGGTTGGTTAGTTTGGTTATATCGTTATTTTTTATCAGAAATGTACTGATGTGTTATTTTAAGTTATCTGAATTCAAGTGGTTTTAAAACAAACCATCTAATAAATATGTCTTGTGTTGGTAAGTTGACAGTGGTATTAAGTATACAAAGCTAGTAGGTGAAGAAACAAAGAGGCTCTTTTTGTGGCCTTTAGGGTGGTATCAGGCCGGGAACAAAGATTCATTCAAGCACTTTTCTTTTTTCTCACATTTAAATTCTACTAAAACACATGGACATTTCAGGCTCTGCTTTCCCACAGAGGGCAAAATACATTTAAGTTTACAGTCGCTCTTAATAAAAGAATAATGCAAGGAGACATTTTCTACTTATTTGCAAGTTTTCTATTAGTGTGTAGCCAGGAATTTAGAAAGATCCAGGAATCAGGAATCCAGCTTCCCACCAAAACAGCTTTTTTTCTTTTTTTTATAGTGATTCAAATTCTACTAAAACGAACGTGAGACAAAAAAAAAACAGATGAATTTTAAAGCTGATATCTCTGCCAAAACAAAACTTACAAATGTAATAGAAGTTGATGCAGTAAGATGTGTTTATTATTCAGCCATAAACATCAGAGTATTTGCTCTGTCTTTTCTTTTTCGGATCTTTGCTCGGCTTGAGACTCAGATTATAGGTTTAAGTTCCTTGCACACTCGTCTGCGGACAGCCTCAACATTTAAACAGCCGAGCTGAATCCCCGTCTGATGATGGTGGGCGGACTGGCTTTTAGCTGTTTAGCGTTGGTCCTGCTCTCCCTTCTGATTGTTGTTGTGTTGCAGAATTGCTGGTATGAA